CCATTTTCTTAAATTTTAAGAAATTTGTAAACAAAAATATTTTCGATTTTAAACTTCTTCCAAAAATAAATTATATACTTTTAACACGTTATTTGAGTAAAATTAGAAATTTTAAAGTTAAATTAATCTGATTTGAAACAAACATTACTTACTTATAGCATAAAAAAAATTGTCTCCCAACATTTCTTAACGATGTGCCTGAATTTTCTTGTGACTTTATTCACGTTATTGATGTTATTGAAAAGTTACGAGGTGATGACAGCTACTATGGATGACCAAAATTGATATAATTTTACGAAATGTAAGCGAACGAATTTTTTTGGTTTTTAACTAGTAATTTTTAAAATATTGACATTTATTCAGCAATTATATAATATTTATTTTTTATTTAATACTTTTTTTTTAGTCTGGGTTTCGTTTCTTAGGTTCTTAATCTTCTTATCTTATTTAATAACTTAAACCAAAAATTATTTCAATGAAATATGACCCAAACTAAAATAAATACCTAAAATAAAAATATTTAGTAAAAAAGTAATTCACAAATATTAAAACTAACTTAGAAATTTGGAAAGAACTTTTTGCAAACACGTTAACGGTGTGAAACAGAACTGGATATTGAAGATAATTAGTTGCAGTGCCTCAGACGATAATCAAATCATTGATCTTTTTAAGGATTATGTCATGTATAGATAGAAATTAGGAACGTTTTTTTTCACTAAAAATTATTTTAAAAATTATTTTAAAAATATTCGGGTTCAAACGACTGTTAAGAGCTTTACAAATTTCGATTCGTAAATTTTCTTTTCACTTTACCATATCACCAAATTGCCAAGTTTAAAAGCAATGAAGAATTTTAATAAACGATTTTTGAAGTATTAATATTATAAATGAATTTTTTAATAAAGTGAAAAAAATTCTTGTAAAAATACATTGTTTTATTTCTTCAGACAATAATGTCCTTAATACAACTTATTTACAAAAGCAAGTAAAAGCTTTTCTAATTAAATAATGTCATAGATTTTTTTGCATTTTTTTACAATTCAGAAAATTTAAAAAAATAAAAAATTGATGATTTACTTTCTCTAAAGAGTCCTGTTTTTAACTAATAAAAAAATCTCACTCTTAAAAATTTAATTTCTCGAAATTTCATGAAAATATGTAAGGGGGTAGAAATATATAAAAAAAAATATTTTTTACCAAGATTTTCTAAAAAAAAATTAAAAAATAATTTCATTCATTTCTGAATATTTCCTGAAAGTTTCATTAAAATCCGACAATTATTTGAATTTTACAAGAATTTCCAAATCAACGTGTGGTTTCCTCGGGAAAAGCGCAAAATAAAACAAACCTTTTTTCTCTTTTCCAACGCTGTTGTAAAAAAAAAAAGAGATTTTTAACCAAAATTTTCAACGTGTTAGAAAAGAGTAATAAAAAAAATTAAAATACTAAAATACTTTGATCTTTCCTCTTAATAATAACATAAATATTTTGATGACAAAACTTTGTTTTCGTTGAGTTATGGGCCTTTTTTCATCATGACATGGTGCTTTTTTACGCCACCTAGTGGAGGTACCTACTTTTATCGTTCCTGATATTGAGACTAGCTCTCAATCTTCAACATTTGTTACTTAAAAAATGTTTTATTCAATTTATACTTAAAGAAATCAGGTTTCGGAAGCTTTTGCTCAAAGTTATTCTTCGCAAAATTGTTTTTTATTCAGTATAAGTATCATGAGTTGTAAACATAAATTTATCATTTTGAGTAAATCAGTGAAAGGTATTCTGAAAGGCAAGGGTTAATATGAGATCGATTTAGTCTACTTCCCGGGGGTAATGATTCATATTCAGTCTACCTCACGTATTCAATATGAAATTAAGTTCTGTCTACCTCTCGTGGGTACTATGAAATTAGGTCCTGTCTACCTTTCGGAGGTAATATGAAATGAGGTTCACTCTACTTCTGGACGTAATATGAAATCAGATTCAGTTTACCTCTCGGAGGTAATGTGAAATCAAGTGCAGCTTACATTTTTGTGGTAATATGTAATCAGGTTCAGTCAACTTTTTAGGGGGTAATATGAAATTAGATTCAAGCCAAACCTGTCGAGGGTAATATGAAATCAGGTTTACTCTACCATTCTCGAGTAATATGAAATTAAGTCCAATATACCATCTGAGGCTCTCTTTTCGACATATACTAAATTTGTATTAGTACGACACTAGGGTTAGGTAGATTGTGTTACATCAATCTTCCAAAATGTTAGGACCTGACTTGGTTGACTTCATTTTTTTTCTGATTATCACTAAAATCTATAAATTTGTCCATATTGACAAATCTGTCAGCACAATTCTCTTCAAAAAAAAATCTTCAAAAATAAATTATATATTTTCTGAAACGTTATTTTTCAAATGAACGTTTCAAAGTTTAATTAATCTGTATTGAAGTAAATATTTACCCTCAGTTTAAATTATCGCTGAAGAGCATCGTGTTACGTGTTAAGTGACGTATTGACAGCTTGATGCTTCGTAAATTTAAATTAGGAGCATATAATAATAAACGGCGCGAAGAATATCGACATTCGCCCTTCGTTTGGACCATCTCGATGGAATGGAAATGCTTTTTCTAGATTTCCCGGTTATGTCCCTTTAACTTAACTCTCTTAAAGTTTTTGTTCGCTACTGCAGAAGACAGGGATTGAACTCACAACACTTTGGGTCAAGTCACTGGATCCAAACTACGCTTTTATACACTGGGCCATGTGTCTATAGAGAGTATATTGAATTCAGCATCAAGCTCCTTAGTGCTTATCTGTAGATCTCATATACAAAAATCTTTTATCTGACGATGTCCAGGAGAGGACACGCAAGTTTTGCCGCACCTATGCTTCACCGGCAAGACTGACGCTGTGCTGTCATCACAAGTTGCATATTTTTTTTTGTAGTAGGTATCTCAATTACTTTCGCTACAGAAGACCATATGCGTAGCATAAATGTTAGGAAAGTTTTATTTTTTGGAAAATTTTTTTTTACAATTGAAAAATTGAACTCTTGGTATAATATGGCCACTGATGATAGTGTAATTATCATATGCCGCTACGTAGGATTTATTTCTACTTTATTCATTTGAAAATAAAAACATTTCTTCTTTAGAGAAAAAAATTCTTATTAACGTTTCCGGCTTCAAAAGCAAAACATATTTACACGTATGTTATTCCTTAGTGAAAATCGCCGATGATTTATAATGTTTTACAAAAAATTTACAAGATTCAAGAAACGTTATACTTAATCATTGTTTATGTATGTGGTCATGTATGCGAGTGTGCGAGGGAAGAAGTGGGAAGGAAACAAAATTAAATTTTAAGAAACTTTATTTTGCTTATAAAATTAAACATGCCATTCTGAAAAATCAAAGGGGCCACATGTGGCCTGCAGACCACATGTGGCCTGCGGACCAGATGTGGCCTGCGGACCATATGTGGCCTGCGGACCACAGTTTGTCCATGACTGTTTTAGACCAATGGATACCGGACACGTGATGAAAGTATAATCGAAAATCATTCTTGATAACTAAGGTGACCCTTAAAGAAAATTCTACAAGATTAAAGAATTTATTTTCAATAACTTCATTAAATATTTACTTTAAAATAAATACTTTTTATCAAAAACCACTCAAGGTAGATGGTTATTTAGTAATATTGCATAGTGTAAGAAGTAGAGTTAAGAAGTACAGTTTATATGATTATGTAAGAGAAATAAGACTTAGCTCTAGACTTGAAGTTGTTAAGAGTCTAGTGATCAGCTTATTGGGGATTTATTCCACTAGGTAGCTGTTCTAGGGTATAAACTAAATAGAACTTTCTTCGTAGTAACCTCCTGTGTATGTGGTATGGCGTGTCCTAGCTGTAAAGGTCAGAACTGGTGGAACTAAGGAATGTAGCTCGTCAAAACATTTGCTGTGGAAAAACCTATAGAGTAGTAGTGGGCTTGTTATGCTTTGTCTGTGGGGAAAGGAGATGTAGGATAAAAAATAATAATTCTTCCCTTTATAAGACCACGGAGACGCTTTTGAACTCTATCCAGAATAGTGAGTGGGGACGGGACAGCTCCAGGCCAGATATGGCATCAGTACTCCATTTTTACCCTGATCTGGCCCTTGTCAAAATAGAGCATATGAAGATGAGTCAGACACTGACCGGGGAGGTACAAGGGACTAATCATTTTTCAAGAGACTTTAGAGAGGACCCATTCGCTAAAAGGAAATGTTAATGCATAAGAATTAATGCAATTATCACAGATTATAAAGCAAGTGAAGAGGTAAAACCTTGTTTTTATACTTGTCTCTATAGGTAAACATAAGTCACGTTTACAGTCAGTAGCTAGAGATTAATCGATTTTATACTTGAGGCAATAGATAAACATTTATCGTTTTTATACTTGAGTCAATAGATAAGCATTTATCGTTCTTATACTTGGTCAGAAGATAAACATTGGTCATTTTTATACTTAAGGTTAGAGGCAAACATAGGTTGCGTTTATACTTGAGTCTATAGGTAAATATTCGTTGTCCATACCTGAGTTCACAAGCATCTCAGTAGGCAGATCCTTTTCCTGGGCTCTTGCCTATCTACAGGGGTTGCAATCGGCGTATTCTAAGCCCATCCAACAAAGCAATACAATAATAGGTATGCAATTTTTAGAAGAAATCTCAAAAATAAGATTGTTTTTTTTCTTTATTTAGACGAAACTTTTCACCTTTCACTGAAAGGACATATTTTTCAGATTAACGTTCACATATCTCAAATACCTGTTACCCTACCCTTGAACTTATGGACGTTTATGAAGTAAATTTTTTCAGGTGTTTTCGCCAAGAAGTGAAACCTTAAATAAGTGGCGAGCTCTGGAAACTGTTTTATCTTTATTGAATATTTTGATAACCTTAACTTCTATAGCATGAACTGATATTTTAAAAATTTGAATTATGTAAATCTATTTCCTTACAGTTGAGGACACACCTGAATTTAAATGTTATGTCTGTTCGGTAACAGCCAAGCGGTATCGCCTGAATGCACTCGATCCCTGTATTTTCAATACAACCGCATTGTTTCCAGTGGAGTGTGCACCTACACAGAAATACTGCCAGGTAAGTCTCACGCTTTTCCTAGAAAGAAAAATTATTCTTATTTAAACCTATGAAAATATCCAAACAGAAAAATATAAGTGATGATCGATAATTACAGCCTAAAGGATTAATAGTGTATAGCGATGCACATAAATTGGCAAAGCAGGAGTTGTCAAATTTCTGGTACTTTTACATATCTGGCCGAAATTGTATGAGAAAACAACAAAAAAGAAATCAATAAAGACGATGAAATTAATTTTAAAAAATCGGAACCAATGATTAAAATATATACTATTTATTTTTGCTTGTGATACAATATTTGTAACTGCCAGGGTCGTTGCAAGGGTCTTGTGTTCCCTAACACCCGAATTTATTATACGGCCCCCTCTAATTCTACTACACGTCAATTTTCATAAAGCTGTATTCTTATAAAATACCAATTTTATTGTAACCTAATTATATACAATAATGGATCGTATGCAATATAGGTGAACAATTCAACTAGAAAAATTGAAAATAAATACAATATATCTAAATAGAAATTATTAGTGTCTTCTATTTTAAATAATGTCTTGTAGCAATTTTTCCCATCAGTTTGAGTACACGCATTGAATTTAAATTCTTGAAGACCATAGTTGGCAGGTAATTAAGAAATTGGAAGAGGATTTCACATATGAGCCTTGTATCTTTTTGGTCTCACATTTTCCACTGACATAATGAGGAGTGATTATATTGAATTGATTGTCAGGTGTACTGCTAAGAAAAGAATCTCAGGTGAGTAAAACTTTGAATGACAAACTGTAGAGAAGGCAACAGGAAACAACTCCACCACTTTTCTCAATAAAGACAATTCACAGATGATAAAGAAAAGGACTCTGTAGAGAGACATATTTACTTATATACCTTTTTATAGCATATATTTATAGTATGCTGTTTTTGTTAAAACATTATAATAAACTTTTTATCAATTTAAATATTATTATTAGTGAATACTCATATTTGAGAAGATGCTCCATTTATTTAATAAAGATTATATTTATTTTCAGCTATCGATCAAAGTGTTCGAGAAATCTAAAAGTGGAGCTAGCAAACTGTGTTCAAGTTCTGTATTAGTCTCTTGCTATCATTTTCACATTAATGCACTTAAGGATGGCATCAACTTTTTGACCCAGCTATCCAGTGGTAGATTGGATGCTTGAGACTTCCAAGAAGGTAATAATGCCACAAAGACACAAAGGGGTTACGTGGCAGGGTCAGTGTAATGGTTTTGTCCCCACCCCCCAACACACCTAATTTCTGATATGGGGCCCACCACTCTACTACATCTCAATTTTCATAAGATTGTATTCAAATAAAATATAAATTTTATTGTAGCCTAATTAGGTACAATAATGGATCATATGCAATATAGGTGAACAATTCAACTAGAAAAATTGAAAATAAATACAATATGTCTAAATACAAATTAGAGTCTTCTATCTTAAATAATGTCTTGTGGCAATTTTTCACATCAGTTTGAGTACACGCATTGAATTTAAATTTTTGAAGACCACAGTTGGCATGGGATTAAGAAATTGGAAGAGGGTTTCACATACGAATCTTGTATTTTTTGGTCACACATTTTCCACTGACATAATGAGGAGTGATTATATTGAATTGATTGTCAGGTGTACTGCTAAGAAAAGAATCTCAGGTGAGTAAAACTTTGAATGACAAACTCTGGAGAAGTCAATGCGAAACAACTGAACATTGCTGACAATGAAAAACTTTGTGCTGCTAAAAGCATTGATTGGTATATTTCCAAACATGAAACTTTTATATCATGATGCCAGAGCAGGTGCAAGGGTCTCTTGTACCCCTCTCTCCAATCTATGATACGAAACCCCCACTGTACTACATCTCATTTTTCATGAAGTAGTATTCATCTAAAAAACAAATTTTATTTTAACCCAATTATGTACAATAAACGAACATATGCAATATAGGTGGAAAATTCAACTAGAAAAATTAAGCATAAATACAATGTATCTAAATATAATGTATTTAAATACAATGTATCTAAGTACAATGTCCTAATAGATCATTTCACTTTAAATAAATTAACAATATTTTGCGCCAATTTTTAACAGCAATTCAGATTTTTTATTGTTAAAAAGTTGAATAATTTTAACACACTCAGCATTATGGATACAAAAAATAGTGAATTATTATAGTGTTTTTTCGAGACTTGGAATGAGCAAAAAAAAAAAGACCCTAGAAAGAAAAACTGCCAACATTTTTTATCCTTTAATAGTCTGTTGTGCCTTGTTTAATTTGTAACGTGTATAAATGTAGGTAGAAAAAAAAGCAAATGTTTATAAGTGTCACAAATCACAGCAACGAGGCTTGGCGTTTCGGGGGTAGTATGTACCGACCCTGATCATGTTGCAAGAGAGTATTGAATACTCTTGCAATGACGTCATACAAATTTAACCCATTTCGACCTCGAAAAACTCTCCTATTCACAGGCCTGCTCACTTCGTGGGGGGGTGGGGTGTAGTACACGCCGGCCATGTTAACTTCTTAGAAAGGAAAAATGATGGAAAATTCTTCTACAGCGTAGTAAAAAAAATAAAAGCAAAAATTCTTAATAATATTTATATGTGAAAAGTCGTCTGCTTATGAAGCAACTCGAGGGGTCAGTTACGGATTGGGGGACGTCAAAATCAAGCAGAAAATGTGACACAGAAATCCCAAGGCACATAGTAATAGCAAAAGATGTCTTCCAGAAATTAATAAAAGTATCAATATATAAGAAATTATCTTAAGAAAGAGAGAAAAGCGCGCTAAACCTCTATATCACATTTACGTTTCAATGTAGAAATGGATACCTGGCGTACGGTCACATCACATTGAATGGATCATAAGCTGACTATAAAGGAATGTTACTAGAGCTGTGAAATCTTACATGCATTAATTCCAACGTTTTTTTTTAATTAACCTAAAGTGTTTATTTCCAGTTAATCTGATATCTGACTATTCAAAGAAGACTCAGCATATGACCAGTTGCGATTTCTCTTGGAAATAGACGAAATTTGTCATCGTGATCTTATAATAAACTTGTTGACGTGGTTGCTACATTAGAGGAAAAAAAAAACTCTAGGTTTATCAACAGCTCAAAAGTGGACGGCTGAATTTAGGTGGAAGAAAGTTTGAACATGACACAAGATATGGACGTCCTGCAACTGCTACCACTGAGGTAAACGTTGATCGTGTTTACTACAAGGTGATGGATGACAGGCGATTATAAATCAAATAACCAATTCAAAATCGATGTCATACCTGTTGTTGTTGACTTTTGTGACCAACTGAATGAAAGCTTTTTCACCAGTGAGATTAAAACACAGTAATACCTATGGAAGAAGATGGGCGGGCCGCAAGGGGGACTATATTGCAAAATAAACCTTATTTTTTTCTCGTTCCATGAAAGTATCTTGGTCAGCCTATGAACTTTTTAGCTGACCCACGTAGATAGCACTAGTAACTATTTCTAAACAATTAATGAAAATATACTGTTCATTTCTGACTACTGTATTTAATGGTATATTAGCCCATAACGACCGAGGAAAACGTTGATCATGTTAACAACAAGGTGATGGATGACAGGCAATTGACTATAGATCAAATAGCCAATGCTATTTCAATGTCATATCTGATGTTGATGACTTTTTTGACCAACAGGATTTTAAAGCTTTTTCACCAATGGGATCCAAGCACAAACACCATTGGAAGAAGTGTGCAGGCCGCAAAGGGGAACTATGTTGAAAAATAAACCTCATTTGGTCATATTCTATTAGTGTATTTTGTTAAGCCTATGAACTTTTCAACTGACCCTCGTATCCTCATTTCCATACCAAATTTCCAGTTGTCCTCCATTCTTTTCTTTCACTGGTTCAAAGCTTTACATCTAGAACATGCATGCTATTTCCACAGAATCGAATCACTTTCATTCCCTTCATATACCAAACGTAAAGAGAAAATTCAACACAGACAGCTTTTCCCTTAGAACTATTATTTTATGGAACAGGCTCTCACGTGGGTGTTTCCATGAACTCTACAATCTTCACCCTTCAAGTAAAAAATCTATCGTAAACTGTGCCCCTTATTTCTTATTACCTCCTCTTTCATTTGTATCTCATTGAAAATAACGGTTTACGGCCATATCCCGTTCAAACAACGGTTCTCATACGATCACTGAAATTGCGCAACGTCGAACATGGTCCGGAACTTTGGGTGAGCCAGAGACAAAGAGACGATCCACGCATGCCCCAAAGAAGGATGTGGTTTTTGTTTCATCTGCAAGGAAACTGATGGCCTCATTTTTTGGGGGGGGGGGATGCTAAAGGCATTGTGTTTATAGACGGGTCACACTATCAATGGAGAGTACTACGCCAATTTGTTGAGGAAGTTGCGAGAGGCTGTCAAAACCAAACTCCCAAGAGAACTGACAAAATGGATCTTGTTTCATCAGGACAATGCTCCAGCACACAAGTCCTTGATTCCAATGGCTGCTGTGGATGACTGTGGCTTCGAAATCATTGAGCACCATTTCTATTCTCCTGATTTGGCCCCATCTGACTATCATCTGTTCTTCTTGAAAAGACCCTTCCCCGGGAAGTATTATCGCAGTTAGATGACCTCATCATCTGTTGTTGATGACTTTTATGACCAACAGAATGAAAGCTTTTTCGCCAATGGGATACAAGGACTGTAACATAGATGGAAAAAGGTTGTGGACGGTAAGAGGGTCTATGTTGCAAAATAAACCACATTTAGTCAGATTCCATGAGAGTATCTTGGTCAGCCTATGGACTTTTCAGCCAAGACTCGTAGATAGCACTAGTAACTATTTATAAACAGTTAATGAAAATATATTGTTCATTCTGGCTACTGTATTTAATGGTATATTAAACCATATTACATAATATTACCGTAATTTCGACAGAGTATATTAAAAGAAAACATTGTTAGTATAGAAAGTA